TTCCTGGGTTGGGAAGATCCCCTGGAGAAGGGAAAGGCTACCCACTCCAGTATTCTGGCCTGGAGAATTCCATGGACTATACAGTCCATGGGGTCGCAGAGAGTCAGACCCCACTGAGCAACTTTCACTTCACTTCATACAAGTATCCACTCTTTGTCAGATTCTTTTCCCATGTAGGTCATCACAGAGCATTGGGTAGAGTTCCCTGTGCTGTATACAGTAGGTTCTTACTATTAGTAGTTACCTACTGCCTGGCAAATCCATGACGGAGGAGCCTGGTAGGCTACAGTCCACGGGGTCCCAAAGAGTCAGACATGACTGAGCGACTTCACTTCACCTACTCTGCATGTAGTAAAGGCAGGCTTTTGGTCTCACATTGTCAGAGAAGAGATTCTGTCCCCACTTTCCCTTTCTCGGGGCCCAAGCTGCTGGAGGCAGGTTTCTCCAATGGTTACCATTTCTCATGAGGTAAGTTTTTAAAATGGCCCTGTGGCCTGCTTTATGCTGGGGACTGGCTCCACTTTGTAGGAGCTCAGGTATCTAGTTTTTTCCTAACTATAAACGTATTTGGAAAAAATGCTTGTAATATTTTATCTAGTATTTCTAGGATAGTGGAGTTTTTGCTTTTGTTTTTGAAGATTTCTAATATTTTCCTTATTTTTTTTTTCTCCTCTCTAATTACTTTAATCTCTGTCTTGTGAATTGTCTCTGATTATATCAAGTCTTTTCCTCTGTGGCAGTACAGGTAATTCATTTCAATAGTATCTCTTCGCTGTTGTATTATATTTATTTGTTAAGTCCCTAAATCATGCCCAACTCTTTACAACTCCATGGACTGCAGCACGCCAGGCTACCCTGTCCATCACTATCTCCCAGAGTTTGTTCAGACTCAGGTCCATTGGGTCAGTGGTGCCATCCAGCTATCTAATTCTCTCTTGCCCCCTTCTCCTCTTGCTCTCAATCTTTCCCAATATCAGGGTCTTTCCACTGAGTCAGCTCCTCGATTCAGGAACTGGTCAAAGTACTGGAACTTCAGCTTCAGCATCAGTCCTTCCAATGAATATTCAGGGTTCATTTCCTTTAGGATTGACTGGTTTGATCTTGCTATCCGAGGGACTCTCAAGAATCTTCTCCAGCACCACAATTCAAAAGCATCAATTCTTTGGCACTCAGCCTTCTTTATAGTCCAACTCTCACTTCCATACATGACTACTGGAGAAACCATAGCTTTGACTCTATGGACCTTTGTCAGCAAAGCGTTGTCTCTGCTTTTTAGTATGCTGTCTAGGTTTGTCATAGCTTTTCTTCCAAGGAGCAAACGTCTTTTAATATCATGGCTGCCATCACCATCTATAGTGATTTTGGAGCCCAAGAAAATAAAATCTGCCACTGTTTCCACTTCCCCCCCACTTCTGCTTGCCATGAAGTGATGGGACCAGATGCTGTGATCTTCATTTTAAGAATGTTGAGTTTTAAGCCAGTTTTTTTATTTGTATATTTATTTGTGTATTATTTGTATTTATTTTTACTTTAGTGATACTGCTAGGATCTGATTTTCCTTTCTTTTTTTTTTTTAATCTTTTTTCTTGGTTTTATTATACCATTTTGGAGTTCTAAGCCTGGGTTTATTTTGTTCTGTTAATATTTCCTGTTGTGCAGTCTAGGGTAATAGCTGTGTGTGTTTCTGTACTCAGTGGTTGATGATATGAAAACAACTCATAGAAGTCATTGTGTCATGTTTGTTGGAATACTTCAGTCCTAAGTTGGAACACTTAGTTCAGTGGTATATTTTCTTATCTGTTGTTTGGGAGGAGTACAACATTACCAAAGGGCACTCCATCTGGGGTGTGGCCTAAGACTGTTTAGTAAGTTAGAGCTCAGTCATTACTTTCCCTCGCTTCATTTGAGTCTTCTCTCCAGATTGGGATTATTAAGTGAGCTTTCTCAGGGTTTTGTTGACTCACCAGTGGATTTCTGAAAGGTGGGAATGAGGATAGGAATTTAGCCTGGCTCAGCATCACTTCTCTTAAGTTTTGTTGGAAGAAGGCAGTTCTGTAACACTGTCAATCCACCATTGTAGCATTAATTTTTCCCTTGGAGTTATCATAAGTCTTGGTCCTTGTTTCTATATCATCTCCATTGTCTATTTAAATATCTGTATAATATTCTATTGATGTACCATTGTGCAAATATTGTGAGTTCTATTATTTCCAGGCCTTATAACAGATAAATTTGTAGAGATCTTATTCATCCATGTGTTGTTTGCTTCTGTTGCATTATTTCCTTAGATTGAATTTCCAGGAGTAGAATTGTTATGTCAGAGTATAACAGATATCTCTGAGTCTTGTCGCATATTGCTTTTTTTGTTTTTTTAAGGTTATAGCAATTTAGATTCTCACCAGAAACGAATGAGTATACTAATTTCACTGTAGCCTCATTAGTATTTGGAAGTAGGTTTCTTTTTCTTGAGAAAAAAAAAAGCTGTAGAATAATATCTTAAGGGTGCTTAAATATTCATGCCTTTTATTTTTATGGAGCTTTAGCATTTTTCTATGACTTTAGTTTACTACTTATTTTCTCATCTGTGAGTTGTATATTTTATACTTGCCCAGTTAATGACTTGATGTTTTTCTCATACATGCAAACGAGTGCCTTTTTATAAAAGAAAATGTCAACCTTTACATTTTTATGTTTTGCAAAGCTGTTTTTACAAATCTTTTGCCTTTAAAAAAGTTAGTTTTGTTTGAAATTTAAAATTTTAGTATATAATAAAATCTTTTGTTGGTTTAAATTGAGAAAGTTATTTGATAAATGTTTTATTCTCTTTTTTGCTAGTTTTCTGTTTTCTGATTAAATGAATAGTAATTAAGAATTTATATCAATCTCACATACTGATTTTTTAACAATTTCCTCATTTTAGAAAATTGACTCATTTTTATATGAAATTAGGTCTTTTTAATAGTTCTTATTATATGTGTGGATAGACTTCATTCTTTTTTAAAAAAAATAGTCTTTCATAATTTTGTCTGTTCAAGTTTTCAAAAAAGGATTTCAAGAGCTAACTTTCCAAAATTCCTAAGATAGATCCTTGGTTTGGGCAAAAATCATTCTGTTACAGTCTTTAAACATTGTTTAGGGAAAAATATAAATAAAAATAATGTATACTGTTAGTGGTAAAAGCATCATTAGCACTAGGCTGTTTCATATGAATAATTCTTTGTGTATCTAGAGGTCTCAGCTCCTAATAAATAGAACTCTTTACATCTGTTAATCAATAAAAACTCCTTTACAGTTGTGACTGAATAACTTATAGTGAATCATTTTGTTAGTGGTAAAAGCATCATTAACACTAGGCTGTTTCATATGAATAATTGTGTATCTAGAGGTCTCAGCTCCTAATAAATAGAACTCTTTACATCTGTTAATCAATAAAAACTCCTTTACAGTTGTGACTAAATAACGTATAGTGAATCATTTAACTCAAAACATTAGTGAATTTTAAATAAGCAAAGAATTTCATCACTTCCATCTTTATCCATCACTGATAGAATTTGGCTATCTTTGTTCTGTTTATAGGTGGAAAACCATGAGTTCCTTGTAAAACCTTCATTTGATCCTAACTTGAGTGAATTAAGAGAAATAATGGATGACTTAGAAAAGAAGATGCAGTCAACATTAGTAAGTGCAGCCAGAGATCTAGGTAAGAATGGGTCCTTGAAAGTTTGAATAATTCTTTTGTCTACATAGTATCCACACTGGAGCTAGAAGACACAGTTGATCATGCCACTTCCTTATTTAAAGTGCAAGCCCCATTTTCTACTGACTAAAATTACAGTCACATAATGTTTACATACAGGATTCTTTACATCTGGGGCCTGGCCTCCCCTTCAGATTCATCTCTTAACCAATGTCTCTAATCCCAGGGTGACCCCATATTCCTGCCAAACGAATCACCCCATCCATATTGCCCTTGCAACATCTTTTAAGTAAGGCCTGTTTTAAATGACACTCCCTCTGTAAGCCTTATTCTATTAGGAATAGTTCACTGATTTGGCTTTGGGGTTCCCAAGCACTTCATTAATATCAACTTTAAAAATTAATTGTTTTAAGTTCCCTAGCTTATTCCCTAATTAGTCTCACACTGTTTTGTTCTGTCTTGCTCTGAATGTATAAACCTCTTTGTAATGAGCATCTTTGACTTTTATGTTAAATGAGTAAATCTTAGCATATTAGAAGACCCCTCAGAGCAGTATCACTGCAGTATATGCCCATGTGTGCTCAGTCATGTCTGACTCTTTGCGACCCCATGGACTATAGTCCACCAGGCTCCTCAGTCCATGGGATTTTCCAGGCAGAAATAATGGAGGGGGTTGCCATTTCTTTCTCCAGAGAATCTTCCTGACCCAGGGATCAAACCTGCATCTCTTGAGTCTCCTGCATTGGCAGGCAGATTCTTGACCACTGCGCCAGCTGGGAAGCCCCCTGTATGTGCCCATACCAGCATATATAAAATTTTTAAAAAACAGTTTCCATGGAGAGTTCATATATGAACTTGATCCTAGATTTAATCTTTGACTTGGACGATATTGAAATTTACCGTCCTCATTGTATAGATCTGTCCTGGTCTCTTTATGTCTCCTCCCTGTCTTTAGTTGTTGGCTGTTTCTAGTACTCCATAGTCATGCTTCAGCAAATAAGTTTATTTAAGTTTTAAGATACTATCTCTCTCTTCTGGTTTGGGGTCTAAAGATCACATTGATGAATGAATGAGGAGAGGACATGTGTAAAAATTAAAAAATCTTAGGTGCATAGTCTAGCTGATTGATCATTGCCTTTTTTGTGATGCTCCCTATACTTAGTAGGTGGCCTAGTGTTTTTCTAGAGCTTCGTTGTCAATCTCAGAGTCTCACATTTTTCTTTGGAAAGTGTATTTGTTTTCTTTAATTATACTCTACATTAGTTCCAGGGAAAGGCTTTGGTTAACTAAAGAACCTTCAGCAGAACTCCTCAAGGGTAACCACCATACCTTACCTACCCACGTGCCCACAGCATCTGAAACACTGAGCTACCCACCGCTGGTGCCCTGCATCCTTGGATGGGTTTACCCAGAACGGGCTCCACATCACAGGCTAACATTAAAAGGGGGGTTTAAATATTTTACAGATATCCTTAATTCATGTAGTTTTTTGAGTGAAGTAGGATTTGCATCTTTCCCAGTCAGATAGCATTAATAATTTCCAGTATGCTGTCATGTAAATGATAAAAGTATATTTTTCACTATTTAGATTTAAGTATTTTAAACATTTATATTTAAAATGGCTGTACATATCTATGACATACTCTTTCTTTTTTTCCTGATCATGAAGGCTTAGATCCTGGCAAACAGATTAAACTGGATTCCAGCACACAGTTTGGCTATTATTTCCGAGTAACGTGCAAGGAGGAAAAAGTCCTTCGTAATAATAAAAATTTCAGTACTGTAGATATCCAGAAGAATGGTGTTAAATTTACAAACAGGTTTGTAAGCCTATGTTAAATGAAATCTTTACTAGTTCCATAAACTATTCTTTGATGAAATGTGAATGTTGCATGATAAGGAAGTTTTATTTTATTTATTGATACAAGGCATAAAATATGAGATTATCCTTTCATGTATCTCTCTTATCCTTTTATCAATGTGAAATAGATTATATTACATTTTTTGTGTGTTTCCATATCTGTTAGAGTTAGTTCCCTTCGTATCTCTGTTAGTTATTTTCACATGTTTATTTTTTCTAAGAAAACTTTGTCATTCTGGTATTATCAATTGATGTGTCATTTAGTTTAGGGAGATGGTACCAACTTTAATGAGGCCATTCATTAGACTTTAAGTTTTGTTTTGTTTTTTTAAATCATGTTAATGTTGGAAAAAATCTTAGTAGTTTTTTATGCGTTTTCTCTTGCTGATGTTAGGAAGCTCCTGAGGCAAATTACTTACAAGTGAAAAATAATTATTTAAAAATAAAGTAACTGGGAAAGCAAGGTCATTATCCTTTCTCTTCTGTATTATTTTAGAATTTATGGCCAGCCTCACTCCCGCCCTTCTTGGGTATTCTTACTATTTCCAGTTAGCTTTTGTATATATGCCCCTCTTTTACCCATTTATTTAGTGTTTTGGGGTGTCTCTTATATGCAGACATTATTCTAGGTGTTCAAACAACCTAGTAATGAAAAGCAGTGTGTCTGTTTAGTTTGTTTCTCATAACAACTCTCTGAAATAAATAGGATAGGTTATAGTTCTCACCTTTAGATGGAGAAACTGAAACTCCAGTTCCCCAGGACCAGACAACTAGCAACCGTAGATACTCAGACCTAGATCTTCTGTTGCTAGATTTATTAGTTGCTATTTGTTGATCACACTGTATCCCTGATTCAAGAAATGTATATATGTTATAACTGACCAGTGAGTGATTTGAAGAAATTCTGTCTTACCCAAACCAAAATATAAATACCAGAAGTTGAACTGAATGGCAGCGGTGGTTCCAGAAGCTGTGAGAAGTTCATTTGTTTATCTGTTCATTGATTTGTGTCTGCAGATTGAATGCTGCCATGGGTCTGACTTTGTGATCATACAGTTGTCCTTCTTAGAAACCTCTGATGTCTGTCATCAGGAAAAATCTAAAATCTGTACTTTAGCCTATACAGTCTGATCCCTGCCCACCCCTTTTCTCTCCGGCAGCTCTTCCCTTCACACAGCATTCACTCTTACAGTGTCTGCGCTTCTCCCTTTTTAACTTTAATTCTTCCCACTTGCCCGTCTCACAGGGGTCTTACAGTGCTTCTGTACTGTTCTTGAGCTATATATGTGTGTTTTGCCGTTGGCTGATTCATCATGCTCACAGTTACTGCCTTGATTGACTCGTTTCCTCCTCCTTATAAGAACTTCGCCTTTTTCTTGAATCTACTGTGAGCCCCTCACCTTGTTTTTTTGTTTTTAACTTAATTTCCTTCCTTCCTTTCACTTAATACCAGTGAATATTTTTTCTCTATTCTCATTTTTCTTCATTTTTTGTTTCAACCTGAAATTTTTATTTCCTCTTTAAACCACTCAGTAAGATTGTTTTCAAGACATTTTCCTAGTTTGACAACTTTCAATATGAAAAGACAGTTTCCTACAGTGATGAGAGAAACTGTGTGGAGTGTGTGTGTGTTGTTTTTTAATTGGGCTATAGTTGATTTGCAATATTATATTAGTTTCAGCAGTACAGGTGATTCAATATTTTTATAGTTCTGTACTCCATTACAAGTTATGAGGTAATAGCTCTAATTCCCTGTGTTGTACAATATATCCTTGTTCCTTATCTATTAAAATAGTAATTTCTATTTCTTAATCCTACACCCCTAATTTGTCCCTCCCCTCTTCCCTCTCACCACTGTAATCAATTTATTTTCTCTATCTGTGAATCTGTTTCTGTTTTGCTGTATACATTCGTTTTATTTTTTAGGTTCCACATGTAAGTGATATTATACAGTATTTGTCTTTCTCTGACTTATTTCTCTAAGCCTAATATTCTTGAGATCCATTCACATTTCTGCAGGTGGTTCATTATTTTTAATGGCTGAGTGATACACACACATACCACATCTTTATCCATTCATATGTTGATGAGCAGTTGATTTACTTCCATATCTTGGGTGTTGTAAATAGTGTAGCTTGTGTGTGTATTTTAAGGGGAAGATGGCCTCTATCCTAATAGGGATGGAGAATTACTCTATTTAAATATTTGAGAAAAGATTACAGATCAGAATTTTACTCAAGGGAATAATTTTTATAGCAAGAATTGTGCCAGTGGGCCATTCCAAATGACATAAATGTTAACACACTGAATTCCGGTCACATCCACCCCTAATGAGTTGCCCATTTTCTACTGATGTTTCCATTTTAATTATTGTTTTGATGCTTTATAGGATAATATTCTGGATATATTTCAGAGGTAGTGCACATTACCTCCAGTGGATGTTTTAATATTTCTAATAATACCATTATCTTGATTTGCAGTAAACTGACTTCTCTCAATGAAGAGTATACCAAAAATAAAACTGAATATGAGGAAGCCCAGAATGCCATTGTTAAAGAAATTGTCAATATTTCTTCAGGTAAATTTAATAGAACCGATACATTAGATGTTCAGAAAATGACCTGGATTTTGGTAACAGAAATAATATTGGGCTGTTTGAAGAGTGGGTTTTTGTTGTTGCTATTTTTTAAGGCTGCTGCACACTGTGACTATTGTGTTAAGCTTCCTCTGAAGGAATGCATGCTGTGTTGCATTAGGATCATTAACTGGAAGTTGCTCTCGTACTTAGAAAGATGAACTAGTGCAGGCTAAGGAATGGGAATATTCTGTAATATTCTGTAAAACAAAGACAGGCAAAAAAAGCACAAAACTCGTAGTTATAACAAGGAAAAGAAGCACTAGGGACTGTAAGGCACTAATACCTTAGATCTAGGGGCTCATGTTGTAGGTTATAGAAATATATATCACTGAAAAGCAAATAGAAATTACATAGACTGCAAGCTTTTTTGAGTTCTGTGTGCCATTTCATAGATTTTCAGAGTCTGTTCTTGAGGACACCTGTTAGAAATGATTGTCTTTTTTTTTTTTCCCGGCCATGTTTTGTGGCTTGCGGCATCTTAATTCCCTGAACAGGGATTGAACCAAGGCCACAACAGTTAGAAGTGCTGAATCCCATCCACTGGACTGCCAGGGAGCTCCCAAGATGATTGTCATATAATTGAAAGGACAGCCTGACTTGGCTCTATGATATTGCCCTTAGCATGGAATGAATGTATATAGCAGAGGGTAGGTAGTGATGTGTTAAGCTGGAAGCCTTTGCCTGTCATCGTGTGTGTGTATTGAGCATAACCTTTATTGTGCCTTAAAAAAACACATCGAAGAATTACCTTAGCCAACTGATCGAGGTTGGCATCACCAATGACAAATGACTTTATATGTATGTGCTTCCTGATGTGATGTCGAAGAAAAGATATGATATCACTTGTGCACAGGCATACCCCGTTGTATTCACAGGTATTGTCTTATTTTGTCTTGTCTTACAAATTGAAGGTGTGTGGCAACTCTTCCTTGTCAGATGATGGTTAGCATTCTTTAGCAATGTATAGTGTAAATATAACTTCTATATGCACTGTGAAACCAAAGCATTTGTGTGACTCGCTTTATTGTAACAATCCTTTTATTGCAGTGGTCTGGAACTGAACCTGCAATATCTCCAAGATAGGCCTGTAGTGTTCCTGACCAAAAAAAAAATTTAATCTGAATAGCAACAAGAAGAAAAATGTTGGATAAATTTAGATCGTGGGACAAACTTTTTCAGGCCTGCACTCTTTAAAAATGTCAGTGTCAGGACTTCCCCAGTGGTTAAGGCTCCATGCTTCCAGTGCCAGGAGGCAAAGGTTCTATCCCTGATCAGGAAACTAAAATCTCATGTGCCATGTAGCTTGACCAAAACATAACAAACAAAAAGCATGTCAGTTTCATGGAAGCAAAGAAGGAATTGGCAGATTGTGTTCCAGATTAAAGGAGACTCAAAGTGACAGGACAGTCAAAGACATGAAGATGATCCTTGATTGAATCTGGGACTAGGGGTTGGACCTGGGGACTAGCTATAAGGACACCATTGACAAGTTGGCAAAGTTTAATATAAGATAATAAGGTATTGGTGTCATACTTGTTGGGTATGTATTATGATTAAGTAGGAGGATGTCCTCCTACTTGTTCTCAGGATATGGGTACTGAGTTGTTTAGGAGTAATAGGTCATTTAAAAAGTATAAGCATGTATAATTTTGTAAATTGTTTTACTATTATAAATTTTTACAGTGAATCAGAAAGAAGCATAGTACTTTTAAAGGGTTTTATTATGCCTTATATTTGTGTTGAGATGAATGAGATCTGTAAAGGTTACATTTTTGTTTGGTGTTAATCAGATCATGTAGCATGGTTATGTTCTTGTAGTTGAATTATGTTCCTTCCTAGATGACACTTGTAAGGACCCTAAAAATACACTGCATAAATTCAAACTGGAAGTCTTCCCCCAAAATAATATTAACTAATATTTGTTAAGCACGTAGTAGGTTAAAGCTGTTAGATTTTAACATTTGAAAAGAAGGTTTTGTATTTGGAGTCACCTTGAATTGAAATGAAATTTCTTCTTGGTCTAATATATTCATTGTAAACTATCTTTATTAAAAATATAATAGGGACTTCCCTGGTGGTCCAGTGGCTGGAACTCTGTGCTCCCAATGCGGGGGGCCTGGGTTTGATCCCTGGTCAGGGAACTAGATTCCACATGCTGCAACTAAGAGTTCACATGCCACAACCAAGACTTGGCACAGCCAAATAAATAAATAAAAATAAATTTATAAAAATAAATAAATATAATAGATCATTTTTCTAATTTTCTATCTTACTCTTAAACCAGAAAAGGTGATGCTGTAAGAACCAGTTGATGTGAGATACCAGATGCTGACTCTTGATTGAGAGGCTTGTTTTCTTTTATTATAAACCTATTCATGTTAGTATGTTAGAAATTTTGTGAGAATTATATAAGTACTCCACTAATATTTAAGTAATTCTCAAAAGTTCCTATTGCTGTATGGTAGGGTAAATGAGAACTCTCCCCTTCCCCCCTGTTTTATATGTTAGATAAAACAGGAATAAATTTTAAAGTGAAACATTAAGAATTATTTGTATTTGGCCATTTATACATGAATTTTTATTTTCTCACTTTTATGGGGGATAAGGGAATCAAAGATGAATCAGATTTCCTGCCATTTGATTAAGCTCATAATGTTGTATTTTTCTAAAATGAGATGGTGTTCTCTTGAATGTCTCTTAAGGCTCTGGACACATTGATATCCATGTGATAGTTCCATATGACCCAGGCGCCTGTTATACCAACACCTCCAACCTATTAAAATTTTAGAATCTGTTCTAAAAATTTGGACCGTTTTTATTGGCTAATCATGCTTTGCCTAGCATGTGTGAGGGACTGTTTAATGTATGTAATAACTTTTAGTTTTACTGCTATAGCAGAGTGGAATCTTGTTGAAAGTGTTTTAGGTAACAATTATTGATCTAAGTTTATGCTAAAATTTAATTGCAAGGCAGGAAAAAACCTCAAGTAACAATCTTGACAGTCACATTGTATCTTATTACCTGGTGTTTGCAGGTTTCTTAGGCAATTGTGAAATCCCATCCTGGTTTCAGACTCTTAAAATTTAGAAGTGTGCCTCACCCTGCTTTTCTTACTTGCAATATATCATGAAAGTGCTTCCATGAAAACTTTTTCTTATTTTTTTTAAACCTCTGCCTCATTTCTTTATATAAGCAGCTATGTGCTTTTATATTTTAATGGATTTTGGTAAGGGATATTTGAAATCTGTTGATAGTAGGGAGAAAAACGTGACAAGACGTTTTAACCTCTTGTTGAATTTTAAGCGTTCCTTTCATGTTTAGTTATAGCAAAAACCTCTGTTAATTTTTTAGAAGCATATATATTAGGAAATGGACTTTGAATTCACAAGTGGAGTCAGGTTGAACTTATTCTTAAACCTACTTATCTGTATTTTTTCTTATTCCATCTTCCACATAGGCTATGTAGAACCGATGCAGACTCTCAACGATGTGTTAGCTCAGCTGGATGCTGTTGTCAGCTTTGCTCATGTGTCCAATGCAGCACCTGTTCCATATGTACGGCCAGTCATTTTGGAAAAAGGTCGAGGGAGAATTACACTGAAAGCATCCAGACATGCTTGTGTTGAAGTTCAAGATGAAGTCGCATTTATTCCTAATGATGTTCACTTTGAAAAAGATAAACAGATGTTCCACATCATTACTGGTAAAAAACCTTGTTTATGGGCTTTTGGGGAATAGTGTTTTCCCCTTGTTTATGTTGGAACAGATGTTTATTTTAGGTTGATGTAGAAAATCCTAGTCTTTGATGGTAGAAAAACAATGTTTTTTCTTACTAGTTAGTAATATATTAATAATATGTGAGTGAGTGAATATATGAATGAACAAGAATGAAACTGCTGTTCCAGGGGTTCAGTGCATTTAAAAATAAACATTTCTTCATCCTCAAAGTGCACCTTTGGGCCAGACCTTTCAGTAGTGAGGTCATTGAAGGTCAAGCAGAATTAGCTGCTGGAATGACTTCAGCTTAGGATAGCAGTTCTTTTAAAGACACAATACTATATTCATGTGAAACTAAAAAAAAGTGGACTTCTATGTAGACCAATGCAGCATGTCTCGGACTAAATCATTTTGAGAGATCTTAACCAGATTCTAGAAAACAAGTGTTAGGGTGTGGGGGTGGTAGGAGTCTTTGGGTAAATATGTTTGGGAAACAGTCAATGATTATATTTTATTCCCCTAATTGGATTTTTGAGTTGTTCATATAACTTAACCCATCGTCTCCAGCCTTTTTGGCACCAGGGACCAGTTTCATGGAAGACGATTTTTCTACGGACCAGGGTGGGGGAAGAGATGGTTTGGGGGTGATTCAAGCCCAATACATTTATGGTGCACTTTATTTCTGTTGTTACACCAGCTCCACCTCAGATCACCAGGCATTAGTTTCCGGAGGTTGGGGACCTATGGTCTAACCCATTAACTGGTAAATTTCACATTTTCCAAAAGTGGGTCCTGTCCTTGGGTTTTAGTGTGGAGTTTACTCGATTTGAAGGATTTGATCACACTGATTCATTTTCTAATAGATCCATTATTAATGAATTAATAGTGTTTAGTTAATTAATCAATTAGGCCAGTACTGCTTTCCTGAATGTCATAAAGTTATCCTGCAGGCAGCTTTGTGAGCTGTGGGGCAGTGTCTATATGGTCTTCCTAGACCATAGCCAGATTATAGATAAGATATATTTTTCATGGGTCCTTTCGAAGAAGGGCACAGCATAGGTTTGTCTGAACAGAAAATGGCATTGTTTCAGGGACTAGTGTAAGGTGGGGACTTTGTTCATGCCTTTGGGCAGCCTGTGGTCTGCTTTTCGTGTGTTATATCACAAGAGAGTCATCAGTGTGCAACCTAGGACTAATAGTCAATTATTATTAGCAAAAATAAGTTAATAATCTTGCTTGTTGTGATGTAATTTGTTTTATAGGTCCCAATATGGGAGGGAAATCAACATATATTCGCCAGACTGGGGTGGTAGTTCTCATGGCCCAGATTGGGTGTTTCGTGCCGTGTGAGTGGGCAGAAGTGTCCATTGTGGACTGCATCTTGGCCCGCGTAGGGGCTGGCGACAGTCAATTGAAAGGAGTCTCCACGTTTATGGCTGAAATGTTAGAAACTGCTTCTATCCTCAGGTGAGTACAATTCCCAGGCTCTTGAAAGTAGATATGGATGTCTCTGTCCTTTGAAACATCTACCGTCTTTTATTTAGTTTAATAGTTTTCCTGTGAGCTTTATGCACTTTATATTGTCTTTTTTTTTTTTTAACTCTTTATTTATTTTTCTGTGTTGGGTCTTAGTTGCCCTGCACTGTGAGGAATCTTCCCAGATGAGGAATCAAACCTGCATCCCCTGTATGCAAAGTGGATTCCTTACCGCTGGGCAACTGGGGAAGTCCCACTTTATATTATCTTAAAAGGGAGATAGTTGTGGAAAGCTTCTTTTATTATTTTTTATTTTTTGGCTGTACCATGTGGCATGCAGGATCTTTGTTCCCCAGCCCAGGATTGAACCTATGCCCCCTGAAGTGGAAGCACAGTCTTAACCACTGGACCGCCCAGGAAGGCCTGTCTTTGATTTTTAAAGTTGTCTTCTTTAGGTTTCTAGTAGTTGTTCACCTTATAAGTCTCCCCACTGCTATGCTTTTGCTTACATTGTTCACACTGCCTGGACAGGTCCTTCCTCGCTGTTTACCAAGTCCTTTTCTAATCTTTACATGCCCTTAACAGAAATTCTACTTCTTTGATGACTTTCTTTGTCTCATGTGCCTAAGGTCACAAGTGTTTCTTCAGACTCTTTGATATGCCTGTAATTTATTAGCTTTTTATTTTAGAGGTTATGTCTTTATTTTATTTTTAGGAGCTTCTTTGAAGACAGGGAGGCTATGCCGTCTGTTTCTTGGAGTCTTCTGAAATACTCTGCATATAGTAGATCCTTAATAAATTATGTATTGATTATTCTTTGTGGGGAATTACAAAAGCAGTACAGACATTCAGTATAGTAATTGGTTAAAGAGAAAGTAATTTGGTTAAAGAGAAAAGAAAATGCTAATACATGGTGTTGGCAGGGCTGTAGCAGGCACACAGATTTATGTGACCATCAGCCGTGTATGTGAGTATCACCACACCCTTGTTCCATATTCTTTGGGCGTTATTTTTTTAAATCTTGACTGATTTGATTGTTAAAAAGTGCTTTATCTGGAAATTCTTAGATTAGAACTAGTGGGATTGGTAATTTAAAAAACATTTATTCACTATTTGTTTCCTTTTATAATTTGTTAATGTTAGTGGCACACTTTTTTCATTGTATTGCCTTAATTCTTTTTCTTGCATTACAACATGCTATGTCATAGGAAATTTTCATGTAATTATATGTTTCAGGTCTGCAACCAAAGATTCCTTAATAATCATAGATGAATTGGGAAGAGGAACCTCTACCTATGATGGATTTGGATTAGCGTGGGCTATATCAGAGTACATTGCAACAAAGATCGGTGCTTTTTGCATGTTTGCAACCCATTTTCATGAACTTACAGCCTTGGCCAATCAGATACCAACTGTTAATAATCTACATGTCACAGCACTAACTACTGAAGAGACTTTAACTATGCTTTATCAGGTGAAGAAAGGTGAGCACATTCCACTGGTGTACTGTAAATTCAGTGTTCCTACCCTTGGAATCATTAGTAATTGCTTTATTCTACAGTAGGATGAATTATCAATGTTTTTTACAGAACACGTTTACCTCTTTACAGTGTAGGGACAAGGACATGGGTACATTATTTACATTTCTATATCTCATAATAGAACCATTCATTCTAAAGCAGTCACCAAAAGCATGATCTACATTCTTGAACATCATCAGGGATTTTGTACTACTTCTCAGGTCACCATGTTTTCTTGTCATAATAGCTGTGGTAGTGGTTTAATCACTAAGTTGTGTCCAACTTTTGCAACCCCATGGCCTGTAGCCCACCAGGCTCCTCTCTCTAAGGGGTTTCCCAGGCAAGAATGCTGGAGTGGGTTGACATTTCCTACTCCTTTCTATATAAGCGGCTTAAAGTTGGGGTTTCCAGAGGTCTTGAAATTGTTGGTAGTTTCGACTTATTTGTTGGTATTTCAACCTTTCAGAAAAGTGTCGTTAGTGGGTCTGGCAGCTAATCAGATGACTGACCTTGATGAGATGAACGTACTATAAAAGTTTTTATTGCTTTAACATTTCATTAGATATCAGAATAGCTTTTTCAGATGGCTTTTTGATTTTCCATGAATGTGTTTTTTCTGTTTTCTGTTGGTTGCACATAAATGAGGTACTATTTTTAATTCTTTGTTGCTTATGTTTGTAAGAATCCTTTTGAGTTACTATTTGCATCATTATTGTTGATAGAGAATATAGATATTCTTGGTTAGACCTGGCATATAGCATGAAGTTGAGGTTTGGGTTTTAAAAAGTCTTTTTGTGTGATGAAGAAATGGGTTCAAAATATTGAAAAAGATCAGGTGAAGATAGGAACAGGTTTGTCCTTCACTGTGGATGTTTATCAAACTCTTGCTTCTATTTTATTTTTGTTTCTTTAAGTTGTGTAAACTATCCAGCTCCAGAATGCTTGGGATGTCTACTAGGCCAAAAGAAAATTTACAGTTGAGGCAAAAATGGGAGTTCCATGATAACCCTGTGAGCATCATTGATATTAAACATTTGGAAGGAATCTCTTAAGTCAGTTATTTTCTGCCCACAGGGGTGAAGATAACATGCCTAGTCTGTAAACTTACTAGTCTACTTTTCGGTCAAAAATTTCATTGTCATATGAAGTATATTTTGGATTAAATGTTGCTCCTAATTAGAGACACTTTATATTTATCTCTCTCTTTTTTTTATAGTACTTTAGTTCCTCCCTTTTGAAATAAGAAAACCTCAGAGATATTGTGTTGATTAATTTTTCTTCAGTTTCAGTTATTTGTCTAGACCTTTGAGGATTATCTATCAAGCCTTTTCTCTGTTTTTGTAATTTTTCCTACTCCCATTTGTCAAGGATAAAATATAGTGCTGTATGCCAAGTCATAATCACTTTTCATTGGAGGCTTAAATAAAATTCCTTTAAGTAACGCCAAAACATTTGGCTAATACATTTGAAATAATGCAAGTTTAAGTTTCCTGGTTGACAGAGTGAGAAAAATAAATTCCATTTACATAAATTGCCCTCTCTTCCTACTCCCCAAATTTCTTGTAGGTGTCTGTGATCAAAGTTTTGGGATTCATGTTGCTGAGCTTGCTAATTTCCCCAGGCATGTGATAGAGTGTGCTAAACAGAAAGCCCTGGAGTTGGAGGAGTTTCAGAATATTGGGAAACCACAGGAATGTGATGGACTGGAACCAGCAGCAAAGAGGTGCTATCTGGAAAGAGAGGTTTGTCAGATTGTTCTTGTAGTTATTTTTTCCCCTGTATGATTCTATTTAATTATTGATCATTCATTATTGGTTTCTACTTGCATTTCTTTGCATGTCAAAGAATCCACCTGTATCATTTTGGTTTCACCACTACACATATCAGCACAGTCAAAAGTATCATTTCTAGTTCCAGATTTCAAAAGTAGGAGGATAGGAATATTAGTGTAGGTTTAAAATAAGTAATTCAGAGGAGTTACAGAAGTCCACACACATCTTTGATTACCTATAAACAAATAGATCATATTTACTCAAATGCTTACTAGTTAAGATAATAAATAAACACAGTTCCTGCCCTCCAGTTGTTTAGAAACTAGTTGGGGATGTAGTAATAGTGAACATGTCATAGAGAATGCGACAGGTATTTACTCAGGAAAGCTCTCTGTGGGCAGGCTTTTCAGTTCTTGTGGGAGAAGTGGATCTTAGGTTGGACCTTCTGAATGGTGGGTGAAATTGAGATGTTCCCACAGAAAGGTATAAGCGTTTATTTGCCCAGTGTATTTTTTAAAAATTAAAGGATTATTTTTAATGGTTTTCTATAATAACAAAAATAAAAGAATCTTTATTTCTGGCAGCATGTACTGTGATAATGCATTGTGACAACTTCTTGTCACATTGTTAGCTTTTACCCAGTGAAATTTTTGTTCTTATTTGGATGGATGTTACAATAACAGATGATGCATATGGTGTGTGTATGTGTATGGTTTTTGAACTTAAAAGGTAAGGTTTATATCTGTTGTGTCTGTACAAGCAGGAGAAGTGTGTTATAACTTGTTAATAGTTTTACCTAGGGAAGATTGCCATCCTGGATGGGAAATGGTCTTAGTATCAGCCCCACAGCTATCCACGATCCAGGATTAGGTAGACTCCTTTATGTAATTGGTTCCAGTTAGAACAGAAATCATAGACTTTTGATAACATTACTTACAATGAATTTTTAAAAAACTCTTAAGCTAATGGAGACATATAACACAATATTACTCGATCTAGATTTTACTTGATTGGGGGGAAAGGCACTTTTTATTTAACAGAGATATAGTTCTTTATCTTTTCATTTGGATTATCTACCTTTCACCTTTAAGGTATATATGGCCAACTGGCTCCCTGGTAAGAAGCAGACTTTAGTTCCGTTTCATACGTAGTGATAAACATTATACCTTTTGCCAGGCACTATTCTTAGCACTGTGCATATACTAACTCTAATTCTCATAGCAGCCCTGTGTTCATAATATTATTGTCCCTATTTTATGGATGAGGAGTATGTGTTAAGGAATTTGCCCGTGGTTCACAGAGCAAGTAATAATCATGTTCTTTAGAATGGCAATAACTAGACAGTAAAATAAACAAAGAAACATCCCGTGTGTGTGTGTGTATGATTACTAAATTTTCAGTGACTGTCTATGCCTCACAGTATTTGTAAACCTTGAGTTCTTTTTTCCCCAGAAGGCTAAGTTATGTATCAATTACAAAACCTGAGGGATTTGGAAACTACTAAAATATTCAGTCCCTTTGTCATTAGCAGCTGAAAATATAGTTATAAATATCCTTTTAATGACTTGCCATGAAGAAATACAGTCAACTGAGGGCTTTGCTATAAATTCTAAATGGTGTGCATTTTCAAGAATGTTGTTTAAATATTGGGTGGTATGTTTAGACGGAAATTGTAATGAAACAAGTCGTGACTATTTAATGTGACTTTTAGAAAAGTCATTTTTAAAAGACTAATGAAATGTTCACATGTTTTTTCAGCAAGGTGAAAAAATTATTCAAGAGTTTCTATCCAAGGTAAAGCAAGTGCCCTTTACTGAAATGTCAGAAGAAAGCATCACAAGAAAGTTAAAACAGCTAAAAGCTGAGGTGATCGCAAAGAATAATAGTTTTGTAAATGAAATCATTTCCCGAATAAAGGTAACTGCGTGAGTAAATTCCACGAATGGAATGAAGATAATATTGATAAGCTATTGTTTGTAATGCTTTTGTATTGTTTTATATTAACCCCTTTTCCATGCTGTTGGCAATTGATGCCCATGGGGTATCAAATTAGTAAAATATTTAGTATACTTTGCTCTCCCTGAGTATATTTTCAAAAATCTTTATTTTGAAAAATGAAAGCTGTAACTGAGGAATACGTAAATGGACATAGGCAATAGTAGGCAATATGTTGAATATTATAAATAAAATCATGTATTAGTTTTTAGAATTTGATATGTGTTGTATTTCTTTGTAATAAGACTTTTACACATTTTTCCATATTCCTGAATGGTAAGAAACAGGTAGGCTAGAGACTTGTAAAAAAGCAAGGGATCTTAAGGCTGGAAGGAACTCATGAAACTCATTTCCAGTGTTTCCGCAGTGTCCATCTGTTGGCAGGAGCCAGATTGGCTGCTTGCACCTCAGCTAAGGAACTTATGAATCCAGAGTCCTGGTGTGATCCTCCATCCCATCTGGCATTCTCCCACCTCCGGTCTGTGATGAGACTTAGAAACCTGGATTTTAACAAAATCTTTCGGATTGAATCCCGATTTAAGGGAGAGGTTAATAAGAGTTTAATTGCTGGTCCTGCTGAACACCGGAAGGACAGCCTTTTTAATAAATGGTGATAGGATGATAGGGTATTCATATAGGAACAAAATGAAATCATACCTCTATTCCATATCCTATATAAAAATTAACTTCAGTGAATTTTCTACCTAAATGTATATAGAAACACAACCAAGTTTTTTATGTTGTAGTTCTATGGGAAATGATATGGGGAAATATTTTTATGACTATTTGGGAAATATGAAATTGCTTTGGAAAGGATTTCTTAAGTCAAATATGTTCCATTAAGTTTGACATGACACACTTAGCTATATTGAAATTGGGAAATGATTTTCATTAAAAGATGTCACAAAGTGAAAAGACTACAGGTGACCATTGAACAACGTGGGGGTTAGGGACAGTGACTCCGCCCCCTCCCCCCGCCCCCGTGCAGTTAAAAATCCACAGAAGACTTTACAGTCTCTCCATATCCACAGTTGTGCCTCCACAGATTCAGCCAGCTGTGTATCATATGGTGTTACAGTACATATTGAAAAAAATCCAAGTATAAACAGACCCACACAGTTCAAATCAGTGTTGTTCAAGGGTCAGCTATAGATCCATAATGGAGAACATATTAGTACCACATAAAATATCAAAGGATTTGTATTCAGAATATATAAAGAACTATAAAAATAACTAAACAGACATGACTCAATACTGCCCATTAACAAAAAGGCAACCCAGTTAAAAGGCAAAGGTCTGAATAGATAATTTTCCAAGGAAGATATGCAGATGGACAATAAGCACATGAAAAGATGCAAAATGTTATCAGGGAAATACACACTAAAACCACAGTGAGCTACCACTAGGATAGCTACAATCAAGCCAGATAAACAGTGTTGAGGATGTGGGAGATTGAAACTCTCCTGCACTGCTATGAAAGTGTAAAATGGTGTAGTCACTTTTGGAAAACAGTTTTTCCTCTAACAGTTAAACAATAGTTACCAGATGACCCAGTATTTCCATTTCTAGGTATATATCTAAGAACAACATGTTTGCACAAAAAACTTGTACACAAATGCTTATAGCAGAGTTATTTATAATAGCTAAAAAGTAGTAGAAAGTACGCAAATGTCCATCAAGGGATTAATGAATGGATATACAAAATGTAGGATATCCATATAATAGACTATTAATTGACTATGAAAGGAATGAAGGACTGATACATGCTAAAGCTGGGATAAGCCTTGGAAACATTAGTGAAGAAGCTAGTCTCAAGAGCCTACATAATAAGTGATTCAGTTCATGTGAAAGTCCGGAATAGGGAAAGCTATAGAAAGAAAAGTATTAATACAGATTAGCATAGAGCTAGGGGGCTGGGAATGGATGGCTAGGGAGGTGACAGCTTAAAGATTTGGGGTTTCTTTTTGCGATGAAAATGTTCTAAATGGTAATGGTTGCATATATCTGTGAATATGTCTAAAAAGCATTGAATCATATACTTTAAATGGGTGCATTGTATGATGTCAATTATATCTCAATAAAACCTTTTTAAGTTTAAAATTTTGTATTGAAGTATAGTTGGTTTACAATGTTGTGTTCGTTCCTAGTGTACAGTATAGTAATTCATTATACATACATATGGGTTCTGTTTCATATTCTTTTCCATTATGACTTGTTATAGGGTATTTAATTTACTTCCCTGTTACATACAGTAGGATCTTATTTGTCAATTTTACATATAGTAGCTTGTAATTTTCACTTCCTTATCCCCTTTCTCCTTTGATAACCATGTTTGTTTTCTATGTCTGTGAGTCTGTTTCTGTTTTATAAATAAGTTTATTTGTATTGTATCTTAGATTTTACATATAAATGATACCATGGTATTTATCTTTGACTTCATTTAGTATGATAATCTCTAGGTCCATCCATGTTTCTGCAAATGGTATTATTTCATTCTTTTTATGGCTGAGTAATATTCCATTGTATATATATATGTACCATATTTTCTTTATTCATTCATCTGTTGGTGGATGCAGGTTGCTTCCATGTCTTGGTTATTGTAAATAGTGCTTCGGTGAACATTTGGGTGCGTGTAAGTTTTTGAATTATAGTTTTCTCTGGATATATGCCCAGGAGCGGGATTGCTGGATCATGTGGCAAATCTATTTTTAGTTTTTTAAGGAACATCCATACTGTTTTCCATAATGGCTGCACCAGTTTACATTCCCTCCAACCCTTTTCTCCAGTAACACTCATTTTAAAAGAAGTTCTGGCACTTTACCCAAGAGGAAATCTTATACATGAAAAGATCTTCAATCACTAGTCAGAAAAATGAAGATGAAAACTATTCCAGGTTACACCCTCCCAACTCCACTCTCCTCGCCAGACTGATAATCCTTTAAAATGTGACAGTACCAATTATTGATAAGGATGTGGCACAGCACTGCTAGTGAGAATATTTATCTAGTTAAGTATAAAATTTGCATGTGACCCAGCAGTTCTGTTCCTCGGTGCATACTCTGTACAAGAGATACTTGTACATATTGTGCAGTGCTAGGTATAAAAGAATGTTTGTGATAGACCCAAACTGGAAATGACCCAGCTGTGAAAACAAACTGCTGCTACACAAAATAAATGGAATCTTTAAAACAGTAAGCAAAAGAAATGACAGATAACAAGTAATACAGTTTTTCTCCCAGTCATACGAAGTTGAAAACTATTAATAGAATACCATTTAATGGTGCACTTAAGGGGATGAGACTGAAGAAGAGCAAGAATGTGACTGTAAGTCAGGAGAGTGGTTGGGGATGTGGATGGGAAGGGGCTTTTAGAGGACTTCTCAGGTGCTACAGTATTCTGTTTTTTGACCTGAGTGGTGGTTATGCAGGTGCTTGATTTATGATTATTGCCAAGCTATGCAATTATGTTTTAAGCACTTTTTGTTTGATATGAGAGCACGTGAAAATTTAATACCAATAAACCCTTTAAAATGTTCATCTTAATTTACCATGCTGTTACTCATCATCATTGATAATTTGGAGTGAGTTACATTAGTTTTTCTTTTATGGCTATCAAATGCTTGGAGAGAAGGCAGACTTAACAGAGAAAAACTTTAGACGTGTACATTTTTATTGGTCTACAAAATCTTGTGGCTACTTATAAGTGGAGGACTTTTTGATACAATTCAAAAGGCAGTTTTTAAATTCCAGTGAAACATTTCATCCCTTGGTAAGCTGTGATTAGGTGTTTTTAGATTGCTGTGCAAAAAAAGCATGTATAAAATGGAAATCAGCCTGTGGTTTTAGTTGTTAGGGCTATAGGAAATGGGGTGAGGGGTGAGGTGTTGATTCTAAGAAAACATATAGTCTCTCAAGCTCTGATAAATCAGGGTGCTTTCATTTTTCTAAAAGAGACTTAATGTTTTAGTTCTAAGATGTTTTTGAAAAATGAGAAAGCTCATAATAGACCTGTAGTTTAAGATGTTTCAGACTTAAGCTGTGCTTATTACATGAATATGCTAATGAAGCAGCCAGTCTCCTTCCTTTTGGAATGGGAGATGTAAAGCAAAAGATAAACTAATTTCTGACCTGAGAAAAGACAGTTGCATTTTCAAATTCTAATTGCAGTGTGGTTTGGTTTTCTTTCTCCACTCAAGCGCGAACTTGGATAATGCCAGAATAAAGCTGAATCTATAAATATTATCCAAGATTTAGAACTCAGCCATACTGTTACCATGAAATCTGTTGGCCACATAACCACATTTCTGAGAAAATACATAGCTTTTTTACATTTTAAAAAAGTTAGCACTAAGAATCCATCCAAGATGCAATTGTTTTTGTAATTAGACTTTTCCCCTTAAAATACTCTTTTGAGGGCAAAAACTGTAACAGAACAGAAGAAAGATGTTTTAGGATATATTTAAAGACTAACTTTTTCCCTGTAAAATCTCAGTGTTCCACATACTAAGCACATCCTGTTAGACTTCATGAGTATTAAATATATATTCTATCCTTGGTCTTTCTGCATTTAGCTTTTTTGGGAAGTATGTTTTTACCCACGACATATGGTATGAGCTGCTGATTCAGTACTGAGTGGCTCTTTAAGCTTGGTATATTCTGTTGATTAAGGTGGTGTGCAAAATAGTCAGAAGGAAAACCAGTGCCTGGTCTGAAATAAATTAATGTTAATCAGCTTATGGGGAAGAACAAATGAGTAAAGAGAATTTTCATATACAAAGAAAATTTCTATTATTACCTTCCTAGAGTCAGTGTGTTTGGGATAAGGGAATAGGGTGTGGCCAGGGAAGTTGGGTGAAAGCACCCAGAATACTGCACATATTTCTTTGGCTACACCTGGTCTTAGTTGCAGCACGTGGGATCTTTAATTGCAACATGTAAGATCTAGTTCCCTAACCAGGGATGGAATCCCAGTCTTCTGCATTGTGTGCAGAGTCTTAGCCACTGGACCACCAGGGATGTCCCTAAAACGGTGGTTTTCTGCCTGATGCGTTCATTCCCCACTCGCCTTCCCTTGATAGAGCTGCCGGTTTCTCCTGTGTTCTCTGGAGTTTACCTGTTTGGCCAGCATTAAGGTGTCTGTGAACATTGTCGTAGAGAGCCAGGGTAGCCACAGGAAGTAGTCTCTAGCAGAGCACCTCACTGTAGGTACCAATGCCTCCTGTTCTTTGAGGAGGAAAATGGGAAGCCCTTGTCTTGCCTTTGACACAGCAGTTTCCCCGCTGTCCTGGAAGCAACAGTGTCATGTGATAGACAACATTCAGAACATGATCCAAATTCAATGTATGTTAGCATATTTTTGCTCCAGCGTGTGGTTTGCCCAAATAGAAGTGCCCACGCACAGCTTTGATCCAGCTTTGTGGGCAACTCAGCAGGCATGAACACTACAAGGTGTTAGGCGGCTTTCACTGGACCATCACAATCCTATTTCTAGACTTGGTAAATAGAGGGCCAGACTGCTGCTGCCTTGCTTTGCTTCAAAGAGGTAAAGAGAAATGATAAACTCCCTAGAAGTGTTAAATTTAGAAAGAAGGATAATTCTGTCTGGATAATTTTTTATTCTAACAAAAGAACAATGGCAGTGAATTTTTCAGTGTTTAAAATCAACCAGTAAATGAAACCGACTATAAGGATAACATCTGTGTTATCACACTATTACTATTGCATTTGTTTCCTAGAATTTTGTTGACATTTATCTGTTATAATTAGCAGTCACCTTAATTTTATGAATAATCTTGAATGGAGATAGTTTAAAACCAAACAAAGTTTAGTTAAATCTAAGACAATGAACTAATTTCAGTTCAGCCACTGATCTGAAGTTTTATGGTGCACTGCCTATCTAGCAAGACATGGTTTATCAATTATTTTTTCACATAATGATCAGGACTTTATTATCAATTCTAATGTAATATTTTATTGCTAAACATGGTCTGACTCAGCTAAACCCACCATGAAAGTGAGTTTCACATTGAGTCCTTAATATTACAAAATAGGTAAGTGATTGATGTTGTCTAGTTGCTAAGTCGTGTCCAACTCTTTGTGATTCCATGGACTGTGACCTGCCAGGCTCCTCTGTCCTTGGGATTTCCCAGGCAAGAATACTGGAGTGGGTTGCCATTTCTTGCTACAGGGATCTTCCCAACGCAGGGATCGAACCTTAGTTTTCTGCATTGCAGGCATATTCTTTACCACTCAGCCACCAGGGCTTTCTTTCCATCAGTGAGTGATTGGGCAATATTAAATACTTTATGGACATCTGAAGAAGGCAAAGTGTGGTGCTGGGTACCCCAGAAGATTCATCCTTTTCAGCAGTACTGAAAGGTGGGTACTGCTTTTCACAGGTGAGAACACTGAGGCTCACAGGTTCAGTGACTTGCCTCAGCCACACAGTCAGTGTCAGAACTGGGATCTGAACTCTAAGCAGCATGTCTCCAAAATCTGTAGTTTTTCTTTCCCTTTAAAGGCTTAAAATAGTGTTAGGAATCTGAGATGTGCACATGTGATAAATTTAACAACAGACTGCTTCCAAGTAGGAAAAGGAATATGTCAAGGCTGTATATTGTCACCTTGCTTATTTAACTTATATGCAGAATACATCTTGCGAAATACCAGGCTGGATGAAGCACAAGCTGGAATCAAGATTTCCAGGAGGAATATCAGTAACCTCAGATATGCAGATGATACCACCCTTATGGCAGAAAGTGAACAGGAACTAAAGAGCCTCTTGATGAAAGTGAAAGAAGACAGTGAAAAAGCTGGCTTAAAACTCAACATTCAAAATTCAAAAAATGAAGATCATGGCATCTGATCCCATCACTTCATGGGGAAAAAAATGGAAATAGTGACAGACTTTATTTTCTTGGGCTCCAAAATCACTGCAGATGGTGACTGCAGCCATGAAATTAAAAGACGCTTACTCCTTGGAAGGAAAGCTATGATCAACCTAGACAGCATATTAAAAAGCAGAGACATCAGACAGACAAAGGTCTGTCTAGTCAAAGCTATGGTTTTTCCACTAGTCATGTATGGATGTGAGAGTTGGAT